TTCCCTCCCCAATTGGTCTACTGTTGCTTATGTTTCAGAGTCCTCAGGAAGGCACTTTTTGTATTTTGTCCAGAGTTTTTAGTTGTGATCAGTAGGGGAGGCCATAGAGGGCTTAGTCTATCTCGGACAGCACCAGAATTCTCAGTTCTCTAATGTATGTTTTTCCTGGTTCTGTTTTTAAACTCAGACATACCTTTTTCTTTCTACTTTCATTCAAGAACAAAACTTTTGCCAGGTGTAGAATTCTTAGAACTTACGTTATTTTCTTTCAGCACTTCGAAGTTATTCCATTATTGCATTGTTTCTGGCTTCCATGTTTCTGATGAGAAGTCAGCTATCAGTCTTATTGTTGTTCCATTTAAGGTAAAATGTTAATTTTTCCCTGACTATTTTAAAGATGCTCTTTTGTCTTTTGTTTTTAGCAGTTTTACTGTACTATGCCTCGGTGTAGTTTTCTTCATAGATAGAGAGATAGATAGATTTTTTTTTTTTAGGGTACACAGGATTTCTTGGATTTCTGAATTGATGAGACTTACATTATAATCGGGAAATCATTTATTTTATTTATTTATTTATTGAGAGGCTTTTGTCATAGGACTCATGTGCTCGCCAGACAGACAGACAGACAGACAGACAGACAGAAAGCGAGAAATCATCCCCCAGGGGGGATGGCCACGCCGCAATCCCTTCTCCTCCATTCTCCTCTCAGGATCTTGGGTATGCACACACACGTGCCCGGTGTGAGTTTTAAGCCACTGGATCCAGGACGTGAACTGTGGTCAACTACATGGGATTCCAGCGACATAGCCATTATGCTAACTGCTAGTCCCTTTATTTATTTATTTTTTTGGGAGGAGAGGTTTTTGCTCTAGGGTGTGTACACTAGCCAGAAAGACAGAGAGAGACAGAGAAACGGAAAGCGAGAAATCACCCCCTGGGGAGGATGGCCACGCTGCAATCCCTTCTCCTCCATTCTCATTTTGGGATCTTAGGTACACACGTACATGTGCCCAGCATGAGTTTAAGCCACCAAGTCTGAGACGCAAACCATGGTTGACTACATGGGAGTCCAGCGACATAACCATTACTTCAACTGCTGGTCCCGGGAAATTCTTGCCATTATGTGTCTTTTAAAATTTTTTTATTGAGGGTCAGCAGGTGGTGTGGTAGTTAAAGTACTTGACTCCCACATGGTTAACTGCAGTTTGAATCCCGGATCTGGCAGCTTGCATTCTCACTTTCCTTTTCTCTCTCTGGTCAAATTAAATAATAATAATTAAAGTAAAAATAAAGTTAAATAACTCTTAAATTTTTTTTAAATTGGAACGTACATACACTAGAGTGCACAGATCTCAAGTATACAACTTGATGAATTTTAATGTGAAAAATTTGACCAGGGTAATCACCTGATCAAGATCCTACTATTCTTGAGACCAGCGGATGACGTAATGGTTTTGTCGTTGGACTCCCACATAGCCGACCACGGTTTGAGTCCCAGACCTGGCAACTTAAAATTCATGTCGGGCGGGTGTGTGTGTGTGCCCAAGATCCCGAGAGGAGAATGGAGGAGAAGGGATTGCAGCCTGGCCATCCCCCCTGGGGGGGTGATTTCTCTCTTTCTGTCTCTCTGGTGAGCGTATCTCTCAAAAAAAAAATCCTACTATTCTAATGCTTTCTGAGTTCAGTAAATATTCCATTTATCTGTACATAGAAGTAGTCACTCTTCTGACTTTTAACACTGCGTTTTAATATTGCTTGTTCTTGAACTTCATATAAATGGAATCATAGAGCATGTAGCTTTTTGTCTATTTGACCATTAATATATCTGTGAGATTTCTCCATAATTTTTTAATGCTTTGAATAGTCTCTTTATGGAGATACTATTTAAACATACTATAGTTGAAAGACATTTTTTGTGAGCTTTCTTTTCTTTTCTTGAGAGGCTTTTTTTCTTTTTTCTTTTTTTTTTTGCTATAGGGCGCGTGCGCTCACCAGACAGGCAGAGAGAGACAGAAAGACAGAAAGCGAGAAATCACCTCCCAGGGGGGATGGCCACGCCACAATCCCTTCTCCTCCATTCTCCTCTCGGGATTTTGGGCACACACACACACGCACCTGGCGTGAGTTTTAAGCCACCAGGTCCGGGACGCGAACAACGGTCAACTACTTGGGAGTCCAGCGACATAGCCATTACGCTAACTGCTGGTCCCTATTGTGAGCTTTCTGTGAATATTCTTGTACTTGTCTTTTGCTGAGTATGTAGATGCATTTCATTTACATATGTCTAGGAGTGAAATCATAAGGTTGTTGCATAGGCTTATTTTTCAACTCTACTATGTATTTTTGCTGGGCATTATTTCTTCTAATACTTATATGTGAAAGACCTTCTCTTTGCATCTACATGCCTTTTAACCTCCCTTTATGTTTTCCATCTTTTTAAATTTTTTTCAAATTTATCTTTTAGTTCACTAGTTTTCTCTTTAGGTAAAGGTCATATGTAAACCCATGTATTGAATTTTTAATTTAGTAATTGATTTTTTTCTGTTTACTTTGTTTTTTGTTGTTTTCATTTCTCTGGATGTTCAAATTTTGTTTTTTAAATCTTTGAACAATCAAATGTCTAATAATACCTATATCTGAACTCACTATAGACCTGTTTTTTAATTTTTTGTCTTATCATTTTGTAGTTTTACTTGAGTGCTGAACATTATATTAGAAATTACTGAAATAATACAAAGTCTTGGATAATGCCATTTTTCTTCTGAGAGGTAGATAACTAGTGGTATTCACAATCCATAATCACTTTAATCCAGTCATAGGAAATGAGACTAAAAAGTTATGAAGGTGGGATTATTTAAACTTCTTTGTTTCCCCCTAGGAGACCCAACCCTATGTGCAGGATATTTACCAAGGGTTCCTTTGCTTGGTGGGTTCTGAGTTCTTCACTTTTGCCACCCTATCCTGGGGCTCTTAGACACACTGATCAGCTTCTTGGGGCCACATATGTTATTTTTATTTTTTTAAAGAAACATGCATTAGAGAAGTGCTCCAGGTACTGTGCTCCACTCTCCATATGTCCTCATCTTCGTTCTTGGCTCTGTGATTCTTTTTTGCTTTGTTGGTTTTCCAGCCGCCTACAAGGAGATATATTTTTATGCAGTTTTTCCATTTCTTGTTAGGAACGTTGATTCACATTCCATAAACTGCTACCTTTGGAACAGAATTCTGATAATAACCATTTACAAAATGTTTAAAAATTATTTTTACTTATTTTATAATTTTATGTATGATTAATCAATGTTCAAATAAACCCTTCCTGAGGAACATTAATACTAATACTAGAAAGTTTAGAGTTCAGAGTTACTCGTGTGTGTATTGTTATTTTTAAATAGATTTTTGCTATAGGGCATGTGTGCTTGCTAGAGACAGATACAGAAAGCGAGAAATCACCTCCTGAGGGGATGGCCAAGCTGCAATACCTTCTTCTCCAGTCTGCTCTTGAGATTCAGGCACACATGCACATGCGCTGGGCATGACACCGGGTCTGGAATTCGAGCTGTGGTTGACTATGTGGGAGTCAAGTGACATAACCATTACACCATCTGCTGGTCCCCGTGTGTGTATTATTCTTAAGTAAATATCTTTGCAAATTGTAGCAAAAAAGGATTCATTTATATGTGTGGATTTTTTGTGGACAGGGTTTCAAATTTTTATTGATTTTTTTTAAAGTCTCTTTAAAACTAATAGGGAGGAACCAGCAGATGGCGTAATGGTTGTCTTCCTGGACTTCCACGTAGTCGACTGTGGTTCGAATCCTGGACCTGGTGACTTAAAACTCACACCAGGCACGTATGCTCACATGCCCAAAATCTTGAGAGGAAACTGGAGAAGGGATTGCAGCATGGTCATCTCCTCTGGGGTGTGATTCCTTGTTTTCTGTCTCTGTCTCTCTCTGGTGAGCCCACATACTCTATAGCAAAACCCTCTCTTAAAAAAAGAATATCTTTGGGACCAGCAGTTAGCGTAATGACTATGTCACTGGATTCCCACGTAGTCGACTGCAGTTTGAGTCCTGGACATGACAGCTTAAAACTCATGTCAGGCGCTTATGTGTGCATGCTCAAGACCCCAAGAGGAGAATGAAGGAGATGGGATTTCAATGTGGCCATTCCACTGGGGGGTGATTTCTTGCTTTCTGTCTCTCTGCCTCTCTTTCTCTCTGGCGAGCACACATGACCTATAGCAAAAAAAATCTCTTTTTTAAAAACAAAATTAAACTTTGTTATATTATTATTTTTCATTATTTTTTTTGTGGGGAGAGGTTTTTGCTATAGGGCATATGAGCTCACCATAAAGACAGAGAGAAAGCGAGAAATCACACCCCAGGGGGGATGGCCACGCTGCAATCCCTTCTCCTTATTCTCCTCTCAGGATCTTGGGCACACACGCACACGTGCCTGTTGTGAATTTAAGCCACTGGGTCCAGGACTAGAACTGTAGTCGACTACATGGGAGTCCAGCGATGTAGCCATTATGCCAACTGCTGGTCCCTATTTTTAATTTGATGAGAAAGAGAGAGAGCAAGCCACCAGGTCCAGGACTTGAACTTGGTTGGTCATGTGGGAGTCCAGCACCCCTAACCACCATGCCACTTGCCATCCCCCACAAAAATCTCTCTTAAACAACAACAACAAAGTAGTAAGTAATACCCTTAGCAGTGTGGTGTGGATCGATATCTGTCCAGGGACCCACATGCCATGTGTTCATGTACAGCCACTCATAACTCAGGGCTCTGGTGCTGCTTTGTGTTACCTGAAAGGCTGAGGCTTGGCACCCAGCAGTCATGCCCCTGTCTTTTGAATGACTGATTAATGCTTACTATAAACTAATAAAATATCAATTCTGAATACTAGTAGGCAGGGAACAGAAGGATTAGCTTTAGAAAAACCAGTTTCCTAACTGTATATTTTTTGTCGTGTGTCTTTTTTTTTTTTTTAAAGATCTCTGTACTTGTCCAAAGAGCCCAGGCCTCTGAGATCTTACTGGAAGAATTACAGCAGGGATTTTCCCAGGCAAAGAGGGATGTTCAGGAACAGATGGTAAGTTAACATTTTAAATAAACATTAAACTATGTTATATGTGCTATTTTTATTCTCTCTTGAATTCAGCTTTGATATGACTTTATGACTGTACCCAAAGTGGTCACTATTATGTCCTCCAGGATCCGTAGAATAATGTTAGGCAAAATATTACATAAAAATAATCCTTTTTAAAACCTTCTTGATTAGACTAAAAAAAATTTCACCTTAATTTAATTTTCTAATTTGGGCCAACATTTAATTTTCAATACTAAATATAAGCTAAAAAATGGAAATCTCGGGACCATGAACTCCCATGTAGTCGACTGTGGTTCGAGTCCCAGACCTGGTGGCTTAAACTCACGCCAGGCGCATGTGCGTGCATGTTCAAGATCCCAAGAGGAGAATGGAGGAGAAGGGATTGTGGTGTGGCCATCCCCCGGGGAGAGTGATTTCTCACTTTCTGTCTCTGTGTGTGTGTGTGTGTCTCTCTCTGTCTTCCTGGTGAATGCACGTGCCCTATAGCTACCCCTACCCCCCTCACCCCCCCCAAAAAAATGAATACTTAAAAATGGATATCTCTAGCTGGTGCAGCTTTTGAAAAGTGTGCTTTTCCTGGGCAGTTCATTTACTTTGAGTAACCTCATTAATTTCACAGTCATTATTAAAAAGGAAAAAACATGTTTCATAAATGTTGTGATACTGGGGAACTTCCAGACGGCTATCAGTTCTGAGGGATAGGGCCAGAGAGATTCCTGAGCAAGGGCTGACTGGAACCTTTGCAGAATAGACTGCAGACTTGGGCCTCCCTCCTTGCTACTCTGGCTGCCTTTGCCTTGTTCTACCTTTTTCTTAAAGTTGGAATCCTTAATCTGACTGCCCTGTGTAAATGATATCAGAGTCGATATTGGTGGGACTATTCTGCAAAGCTGCCTCTTAACCAGCTCCTCCAGGGATGACAGAAAGAAAAAAAGCCTCAGATGGATGGTAATGGTTCATTTTTGATTGGCATTGGATCAGTATCTGACTGGCCTTTGAGATGGTCCCTGGTCTCTTAGGAAACCTCTAATCCTAATCATTGACCGGAGAGTTTCGTATCTCTTTAAGTTAGAGAAAAAAGTAATAATCATTGGCCTACAAATTACCATTGGCACTGGACCTCCTACATGGTTAATCACAGTTCAAGTCCCAGACCTGGAAGCTTGAAACAAATGCTGAGCATGTGTGTACGTGCCCAAACTCCCAGGAGGAGAGTGAAGAAGGGATTGCAGTGTGTCCATCCTCCCAGGGGGGCAGGAGGTGGGCAGCGGGCAGGCAGAAGGAGGTGCTTTCTTGTCTCTCTGGTGAGGGCATGCACCCTGTAACAAAAATTTTTTTCTTAAAAGAAGCTGGCAAAGTTTCATAGTGTTGTGCCTCGTGCACATTTTTCATTTTTGTCCGTCCCCTTGTATCTTTTTCCTTTTTTTTTTTAAACTTTGTCAGAGGTTGCATACACACTCACTGGAGAGAGACAGAGCTAAATAGGGAGGGAGTGAGAAAGTACCCTTCATGGAAAATAATCAAACTTAAGACCTTCCCTTAGATTCAGTTACTTACTGTTACTAATCTTTTACCACAGTAGTGTGTGCTTGCACTGGCCCAGTTTTTCTCTGTTTGTCTCTGTAGGTATATAGGTATTCCATTTGTGTTTTTGTTTCTTGGGTGGGGGGGGGTGCACTATTTGGAATTAATGTAGACATCATGACACTCATAAATATTTTAGTATGTATCTCCTAAGCATAAAGAGATTGTGTCTGACCACAGTGTTTTTCATGCTTAAAATATAACCACTTGTCCCCCAAAATTCGTGATTGTTTTCTAGTGATAATTTTTTATTTTTTGATCTCAAAACCAATTAAGGGTCACGTATTGCGTTTTCTTGTCTTGTCACTTTAGTCTTTAAAACAGTCCTCGTGCTCACTTCGGCAGCACATGTACTAAAATTGGAACAATACAGAGAAGATTAGCATGGCTCCTGCGCAGGATGACATGCAAATTCGTGAAGCGCTCCATATTTTTTTGATAAGCCCATCACAAGGATTGGAGTTCATCTTTATAATAAACAATGGCTGTAGGGTTTTAAGATTTGAAAAAGAAAAAAGAAGTCCTCTACTTTTATTTTATGACATTAACATTTTAGAAGAGTCTAAGCCACTTGCCTTGTAGAATGCTTTAGGCTAATTAGCTTGTAGAATACATTTGTTTGATTATTTCCTCACAATTTGATTCAAGGTAAACATTTTGACAAGAATATTAGAGAGATGAAATGATGAAACGGGGGAAACCAGCAGTTAGCATAATGGCTATGTCGCTGGACTCCCACGTAGTCTACTGCGGTTAGAGTCCTGGATTCGGCGACTTAAAACTCATGCTGGGCACATGTGCGTGCGTGCCCAAGATCCCGAGAGGAGAATGGAGGAGAAGGGATTGCGGCATGACCATCCCCCCTGGGGGGTGATTTCTCGCTTTCTGTCTCTATGTCTCTCTCTGTCTGGCGAGCGCACGCGCCCTACAGTGAAAAATCTCTCTAAAAAAAAAAAAAATGATGAAACGGGGAATTCATAACATCATGATGCAGTAATGATGGTTGGTTCCTTTGCTGATGTAATCCCTTGGTTATGGTGGGGACAAAATAGTTTCAGAATTACTACATCAAGTTGCTACCAACAGGAAGCCTGAAGTTCAGGATTTCTTTCTAGTTCTTTCTGCTCTTAGAACATGTCCCAGATAAAGGTTTACAGTTTAGGTACTCGGTTCAAAAATTACTTGAATTGATTTTTCTCTCTGGTTGTATCACCAGTTTGATACAGAGCTCATTGTTTCTGTTGTATTACCATTTCAGATTTGCTTTATTCTTTTTTGATTTACGTCTAAAACAAATATGCAGCATGACTCATAAGTCAAAACTATAAAACAATATATATTAAGAGATCAGTAGGTGGTGTGGTTAAGGCACTAGATATTCCCACATGGCTGACCACAGTTCGAGTCCCAGACCTGGTGGCTTGCTTTCTCCCTTTCCCTCTGTCTGTCTTTCTCTCTGTGTGTCTCTCTCTGGTCAAGTTCAAAAACAAATGAAGGAATAAATAAAATTAAATAATCCTTTTTTAAAAAAGGATACTTAGATCTTGCTTCCATTCCTTATCCCTTCCACTTCATGTCCACCCACTCCCATATGTACTCATTTAAAAAATTTTTTGGCTTACCCTTCTGTGTTTCTCTTTACAAAAGAAGTGAATGTATACATATGTACACATCCTTTCTGTTCCTTCATCTCCAGAAGATTGTGGGATATCAATGTTTTGTTGTAAGACGTGTTGAAAGCACAACTGATTGTTGGTCTGGTGAAAACAAGTCAGCAGAATTGAGCTGTATTTATGCATGACCTTGACTGCCTGCCTGCAGTCTGTGCTCCAGCATGTGGTTCTGGTGTCACCTCCTCTGGGAAGTGTCGTTTAACCCTCTCCCCGCTTCCCTCCCCCAGTTAGGTATCCCTTTGTCCTTTTATCACTGTGGCACACAGACCTTTATGGTATCGCAGGGTAGTTTTTGACTTACTTGTCTTTCTCTACTGGACCATGAGCTTCTCCAAGGCAGTCTTATTTCCGTATTCCATGGGCAGCATACACCCACATAGAGTACCAGCTGCTAAATAAATGTTAGGCAAGTGAATGGTCTTCATTTATGTGTACCCTTAAGATAAATGACTTAGTATTAGAAAGTAGCAAAAATTGTCCTTTTATAGAAGTATGTCTTAGATTAGCTGGAATACCATATTTTGATACAAATTAATATGGAATCTCTAAAATTGACTGACACGTGAGCAAGTGGAAGTAGGTGCATGTTCAGTTTTAAGAATCAGCTCCTCAGGACCAGCCTGTAGTGGACTCCCACATGGCCGACCACAGTTTGCGTGCTGGACCTGCTGGCTTAAAACATGCTGGGCTGGGCACGTTGCGTGAGTGCCCAAGATCTCGGGGTGATTTGTCACTTTTCCTCTTCTCTGTCTCTCTCTGGCAAGGACACATCCCCTAAAGCAGAAACAAACAAACAAACAAAAAACACCTCTCTTAATAATAATTAAAAAAAAAAATCAGCTCAAGTGCCTTGTATATCCTGCACAGATCATCTTGATGACTTCCTTTAATTGAGGCTGCTGGGTCAGTGAACCTGAGCTTGAACCAGTGCACATGTAATGGAAGATGATGACCCTGCCTTTAAAAAAAAAAAAAAATTAATTCATTTTTATTTATTTTTATTTGACCAGAGAGGAACAGAAAGAGAGGTTGAGAGAGAGAGAAGGGGGAAAGAGAAAGCAAGAAAGCAAGCTGCCAGGTCAAGACTCGAACCACGGTCGGCCATGTGGGAGTACAGCGCCCTTACCCACCATACCACCTGCCGGCCCCTTTTCATTTCTCTGAACTTCCTGGCGAATGCCTGCCCTGTAGAAATAGGAGCTATTTTGAGTACATGCCATTTGACATGTGTCTTTATTGTGTCAGCCACTTCATTGAGCTAGAGATCTTCGTTTTTCCGTAGTCCAGAGATAGGGAGGGAAATCATTATTTTTAAAGGTATTTGTCGAGGGCTGGCCCCATAGCTCAGGGTAGGAGAACTGGGTTCTATTCGGCTTACTGTGGCTCAAATCCCAGCCCTGGTAATTTGAAGGACAGGCTGGGCAAGTGTGTGTGTGTTTGTGTGTATGCTCAGTATCCTGATGGGAAGGAAGCATGGAGGAAAAAGGATTGTGGTATGACTGTGCCCCATGGGGGATGCTTGCCCCACCCCCATTCCCAGTGAATGTGTGTGCCCCCCAGCAATTAAAAAAAAAAGGCAAACTGTTGGTGAAAATAAAGAATCAGCTCATGTACTTGATTTACTGCTGGTCTCGCCAGTAGAATATGTATAAAGGTCACAAATGAATATTAAGCCTTGGGGCCATCAGTTGGCGTAATGGCTATGTCGCTGGACTTCCATGTAGTCGACCATGGTTCAATTCCTGGACCCGGTGGCTTAAACTCAGGCCGGCACATGTGCGTGCATGCTTAAGATCCTGAGAGGAGAATGGAGAAGGGATTGCAGTGTGGCCATCCCCCTGGGGGGTGATTTCTCTCTTTCTCTCTCTCTCTCTCTCCTTCTGGTGAGCACACGCACCCTATAGCAAAAACCTGTCCTATATATATATGTGTGTGTGTGTGTGTGTGTGTGTGTGTGTGTGTATGTATATGTATATATAGATAAAAAGTCTCATAGAGCTTTATTATGTACTCTGCCACTCCTCAGCCCTAGCTCCCATTTGATTTGGCCTTGCTTTTCTCTGGTGTAGCTATCACTGGACTGGATTTACCTTTCTGGCTGTGATTAGCGCCTGTTTCTATTTTAGGCGGTGCTGATGCAGTCTCGAGAACAGGTTTCAGAAGAGCTGGTGAGGCTACAGAAAGATAACGACAGTCTCCAGGGAAAGCACAGCCTGCATGTGTCGTTGCAGCAAGCCGAAGACTTCATCCTCCCAGACACTACAGAGGTACCTTACTTTACACGTGATTAGAAATGTAAACAAGGACACGTTCTGAAATGGCTATACACTCTTTAAACAGCTTTATTGAACTATATAACTCTCATACCAAACAGTTCAAACATTTAAAGTGTACAGGTCTATGTTTTTTAGTATATTTCACAGATAAGAGTAAGCTATCATCATAATTTTAAGACATTTCATCACTTCCAGAAGAAATCCCTTAGCTGTTTGCTTATCACCTTACTCCCCCTCCCTCTTGCCATTTACAAATATTAATTTACTTTTTATCAATACAGATTTCCCCATTCTAGACTTTCATGTAAATAAAATCATATAATAACTGTTTTTTTGTAACTGGCTTCTCTAACTTGGCATAATGTTTATAAAATTCATCTATGTTGTGGCAAGTGTTTTTAAATTGTAATTTCTACTACAAAATACATACAAGCTTATATATAAGCTTTATTTCTTTTCATGGCCAAATAATCTACATTGTATGGATACTTTAAGTACTCACCTGTCAATGGACATTTGGGTTTCCATTTTGGGGTTGTTACCTAAACAATGCTGGTGTAAATATTCATGCATAGGTTTTGGTATAGACATGTTTTTTATATCTTTAGGGTATATACCTAGTAGTAGAATTGCTGGACCACATGAGAACGTCATGTGTAAATCTTTGAGGAACTCCTAGACTTCGATAGCAGTGGCACCATCTTATATTCTAGCAGTGAATAGGGCTTGAATTTCTCTGCATCCTTGTCAGTACTTAATATCTCACTTTTTGATTATAGCCATCCTATTAGGTTCAAAGAGGTATTTCATGGATTTTGATTTGCATTTCTCTCATGACCAAGGGTTTTGAGCATATTGTCATGTGTTTATTGACCATTTATATATCTTCCTTGGGGAAATGTATATTCAGATCCTTTTGTTCATTTTAAAATTGGAGTCTTTATACAGAGATTTCTTGATATATCTAGATTAAAGCCCCATGTGATTTACAGATATTTTCTCCCATCCTGTGGACAATCTTTTTCTTTCTTTCTTTTTTTAAAAGAATTAATTAATTTATTATTATTTTCTCACATGAGTTTTGCCAGAGAAAGAGAGAGAGAGACAGAGAGAGAGAGATGGAAGGAGGGAGGGAGAGAGGGGGGGAGAGAGAGAGAGAGAGAAAGAGAGAGAGGAAAAGTAAGCCACCAGGTCTAGGAATTGAACCGTGGTCAGTCATGTGGGAATTCCAGCGCCTTAGTTACCACATCAACTGCTGGACCAGGGCTGTCTTTTTCTTTATTTCTTTTATATTTTTTCTTAAGAATTATTTATTTATTTAATTCCATTTGTTTTTAATTTTTTAATCTGACTAGAGACAGAGAGAGAGAGAGAGAGAGAGAAAGGGAAAGTGAGAAAGTAAGCTGCCAGATCCAGGACTCAAACCGCAGTCAGCCATGTGGGAATCTAGTACCTTTAACCACCACACCATCTGCTGGCCCTAGCGGGCTGTCTTTTTCTTTAAAGTATCTTTTGAAACACAAAACTTTTTGATTTGACAAAGACTATCTAATTTTTCTTTTCCTCATGCTTGCAGTGTCATGTCTAATAGTCCTTTGTCAAATCCAAGGTCTGTAAATTAGTTTTGTGGGACATAATCTTGAGATTGTGCCAGAAATGAAATGTTTGAAGGAGTCACCAGCTGGTTGCTTTTGTGATGTTTTTGTGATCTAGCACTTAAAAGTTTATACCCAGTACCAGCAGACAGCATAGTGGTTATGTTGTTGGACTCCCACATGGTCGGCAGTGGTTCGAGTCCTGGACCCAGTGGTTTAAAATTCATGCTGAGGAACCAGCACTTGGTATAATGGCTGTGTTGCTGGACTCCCATGTAGTCGACCTCAGTTCAAGTCCTGGGTTTGGTGGCTTAACCTCACGCTGGGCACATGTGCACGCGTGCCCAAGATCCTGAGAGGAGAATGGAGAACAAGGGATTGCAGTGTAGCCATCCTCCCTGCGGGGTGAATTTTTCTGGGGTGTGATTTCTCCCTTTCTGGAAGAGAATGGAGAGAAGGGATTGTGGTGAAATCACCCCACTGGATGGTTTCTCGTTTTTCTATCTGTCTCTGTCTCTCTGGTGATCGCATGTACCCTATAGCAAAAATCTCTCTTAAAAAAATTTGTGGCTAGGAGGTGGCATGGTGGTTAAAGATGCTGGACTCCCACTTGACCGAACATGGTTCCAGTCCTGGACCTGGTGGCTTTCTTTCTCACTTTCTCTTTCTCTCTCTGATCAAACTGGAAAATAATAATCATAATAAATAAAGTTAAATAAAATAATTTAAAATATTGAAAAATATTACTTGTAAGTTCACTTGTAAGTTTTGTTGTTTTTTAAAAAATTATAATTGCTAAAAATTATTGAAAAATTGGGCCATCAGGTGGCATGGTGGTTAAGGTGCTGAATTGTCACATGGCTGACCATGGTTCAAGCCCCGGATCATGCAGTTTCACAGTCACTCTAGGCACATGTGTGTATATGCCCAAAATCCTGAGAGAACAATGGAGGAGACAGGATTGCCATGTGGCCATTCCTCGCAGGGAATGATTTCTCACATTGCCTTCCCTCTGTCTTTCGTGAGCGCATGTGGCCAATGGCAAAAACCTGAAAAAAAATTGCTGAAAAATTATGGCCAAGCCATAGCCTAGTGGTTAAGGTGGCTGGGGCTCACATGTCTATGGCTTTGAT